CAGACGGCAACGTAGACTACGACGTTTTCATGAAAGGCAGAATCTATTAGAATATACACACGATGATGCAATTTACGAGAGGTTGCGCCTAGCTGTGACAAAAAGAGCGGCAAAAAGGTGGTGGAGATCCTTTACGACGACCTCAAAGCAGACGTTCTTATGCATTTCCAGCCACCCAAAATTGGAGAGTTAGTGCTTTCGTGACACTTTTACGGAAGAGTTCCACTTCCGGCAGACGGTTTCGAGACTACGGTGAGTAACGAGAGAACTAACGACCGAACTTTACGACTGAACTTAGCGATGAGTTAACGACTGCTTCGTAAAACACCCCTCAAATATCGCTAAGTTTTCTCGTTAGCGAGGTAGTTCAGTAGTTAGTTGTTCTAACTAACTACTGCTTTGTGAAACCGGCCCCAGCTTTGAAACCTGTATGAGAACAACAATACATCATAATAATCATTCATATATGCTAAGTATGAATATTAAAGGTTGAAATGCTGCAAAGTCATTGAAAAGTGCTGTGTGAATAGCCTCTAGGTGTCTGACTGAAAATTTTGATGTCATTGTTTAGAACTAATGTTTCCCATGGACCTGGTTTAGATCTCGCTGTAGGTGGTCAAATAACTGCTTTGTAATTGCAAATAATTTGAGGTAATTGGAGCATTTATTTCTTTAAACATAATCTTTAAAGATACTGGTTCTAATCAAATTTTTTTCATGCATTTGAAATGTAGTGAAATGTCCTTAATGAACTTAAACACATCTTTTATATCACTATCTTTTAAAAACAATTTCAATTTTTCTCAATCACTTTTGTCTTTCAGTGTTGTCCTTATATTTTCCCTTATCATCTCACATCCCAGTAAATACTGGTAGCAAATACACAAAACAAAACAGACAGAATATTCAGAAAAGCTTGTATTAATGGTCTGAATAAAATATAAGTTTTATAAAGCCTTGTGTGAATACACTAATGTGGAAACAATGGAAGGTGGTTTATCCACTGACGGCAGTCTATCTCGGCAGCAACATCTCTGCAGGCACATTCAATAGGCACATAACACATCATTATAACGTGGGAACACAAATAATTCATGACCAAAGGTAATAAAAGTTGCATGACAACTGAACAGAAAGGTGTTGCAGGTCTGTTATATTGACGGATTGTTTGTTGATTGGATTCAGATCTGATCTAGAAGATTGGTTTTAAGTGTGGTTTTTGAGTAGAGTTTAATTAGAGAGAGACTTGGGTCTCTGCAGTCACCATAGAGCTGGGTGGTGACGGTGTTTTATTCGACACTATTTCTGTTGGCTCTTTCCTAATAGGGATGTATTGACAAAAGATACAGTGATTCACTCTCTGGTTTTGATTTCCAGTTTAACTGGGCCAGAATTTTTATGTCTGTCTTTAACTTGGGACAGTAATTTTTATTCCACTATGAAATTCATTAGTCAGATTTAAGCTTCAAAATTAAGTCCTTGATTTCTAAAATTTATTTTTGGTTTGGTATGAAGATCAGTGAGAAGAAATTCTAGTAAATACTATCAAAAATAATTTGAAATTTTACCTGACATTTTTGGGCATAAGGAAAAAAGGAGAGACAGAGAAAGGAACTCCATTGTGACCTACACATTCACTCAGTATTGTTTGCAATGGTGCCAGGTAAAACACATGATGTGGGCAGCATGGGTTATTAATGAGAATCAGAGAAATACTTATTGACAAGGACACTTCAGGTGCTCTCAGAAGACCATTATTTGGATGTATTTCCAGTATTCTCAAGGAAAACAAGAACATCAGCACTGGAAAAGTGAATAAGTGCCAACTATTGGGAAAATAACTTTTTAGACCTGGATTATACTTCGATTGAGACAAAGAGAAAAGGATGGTGACTTTTTAAAATGTCCTTATGCCATGGAGCTTTGCCTTGGAATACATCAGTGTAGGTTATTGACTAAATAATGGAAGAACACTTTCTTGAAAATATTGTTTAGGAAGATACCAAGTTATCTGAAGAGTGATTGCTCTGTTCTTAATTCAACCAGTGCTTCATTTTGGGCTTCAGAGGAGGTGGTAAGCCTTGAGAATGGTAGATTATTTTCACAGCATCACATAGAAGCTGACTTTTTTCACCTGACAATTGGATGCTTTTTTGGCTCTTAATTGATAAAATTGCTGATAACATTTTTCTGGGCGAAGTCCTCTTTAAGTATTCACAATAGGGTTATTATTACTAGGAAAACACTTGCAACAAAAAAACTTGATTATTAAAAATAATCGGATTGAAAACCCTGAGCAGAAATTAAGAGAACAGATGTCATTCTCACTGTATTAACTGGAAACTGAGATTATCATTTAGTGCACAGTGCAGTCTCGTCCTCAGGGGCCCCTCTTGTAACATAATTAACTCAAACATCTGATATTGTCAACTGAGTGGGAAAAAAACTGAAGATAGATCTGTGGTTAAAGATATAATGAGTTAATGGGGGAAAGGACCAGATGGCAAGACCGCAGGACACACAGTCACTCCAGGGGACGGAGTTCTGAGAGGCTTCTCTGATGGGATTTTTTAACAAAAAGAGCATCCAGATGTGTTTTCTAGGGATTCTGAGAGAAACACTTTGATACCTGGGGACATATGATGTGACAATAGTGAATATCCTAGAGAATGGGTGGAACAGAAAACAAGAACACTAGAGAACTGGATACAAGATATTAGCATTATTTTATATTCCGTTACTTAGGTTGATAACTATACACGGAATCCTGGAGACAGACATATTCTCATCCTTAGGGAATGAAAAATAGTAAATTTATATTTTTTGTTCACTGGATGTTTGGACATATATCACAAGGCTTGGAAAGTCTCATCTCCTAACTGGACAGAGCAGGGCTATATCAGAGCAAGGGCCTGGTAGCCTGATCATTAATTAATGACAATCTACATGCACAGCAGTCAAGGAGCAGAATCAATTATGACATAACAACCTGCATTGCTTCCAATATTGCTGGTAGTGCAGAGGTAATTGCACTGTGGATCAGAGGCATACACATAAAATGTGAGAGAAAAGTAACCGCAAAGTTTTTCTCTTTCCCTATCATTTCATTGCCAAGTAGAAAATTAAACAGTGTAGTGATTATTACAGAAAATGATGGAATGTTTGGCAGTGGCCTGTGTTCCCAAGTGCCCAGCGGACACCTGAGAAGGGCATCCAGAAATTGGGCAAACTATTTTGATACATTATCGCAAGATTTGTGGAAAATTGTTTCAATTAAAAGCTGATCGGAGAAGGGAACAAGGCATAATTACATAAACATCATTTAGGAAATTAGGATTTTGTTTCTCCTGGACGGAGCTTAAGTGCGGTTTTTACCAATCAGACAAACCTCAGCATGGCTCTTAGTTAATTTTTCAACCACCAGGTCGGAAAAAGTGGAGAGAAAATGTCAGAGGTCAGCTGAATTGGTGTCATTAATGCTAATAACACTTATATTACAAGTGATAACTTCACCATTAAGTGACCTCTACAGAGATTTCTGGACTCTGAGCAAAGGAGGTTCACAAAGAGGACACCTGGGATATTTTTGCAATTCTGTAATTTTTTGGAAAGCAAAGACGTAATTATCAAATCCAGTCATAAGTAAAATAAATATACTGAATGCTTGATCTCAAATGAGATAAGTGTAGAGTGATTACAGAGAAAATGGAAAGAGGTCATCAAGGTTCATTTGGAATTGCTTGTAACGCTGTCATTGTTGCTGGTCTTAACAAGCATGTCAAGAATATCACATCTGGCTCAGAAGAGAATAAAATGTATCAAAGCAAAAACAATACCCCGAATACTGTAACAAGCTCCAGCTCAAAGGAAGGAGAAAAAGAAAATTTTGATAGCAAAAATAATCGGCAAGATACTAAAATTCGTCACTTAAAGGGAGTGAAAAAGCTCATGTTTGACAGCAAAAATAGTTTACCAAGCACTGAAGTTGTTTCTGGTGCCAAGTTGACATCGGAGGGCAGAATTAATCAGCAAACCACTGCAATCACATCTTGCTCTAAGGTGAAAGAAACAGAGACCTATGACAACAAAAATAATCAGCCAGGTTCTTGTATAAACACTGAGAAACCTGAGCAGAGATCAGAACAGCAGACAGGAGGGAGTGACAAGCACAAACATTCTGTACATAGCCACAAGTTCATACCTCACTCTACACAAACATACCAGGGAATAGATATACACAAACAAGGCACTGGGCTCCTGAGTAAGGACCCTGAGATGGATCGGGTTTTTGCTGTTCCAACAGGAATAGTGCTGCAGCGCATGAAGCAGCTACAGGAGGGTCATGTGGGTAGCAACAGGATTGGAAGTCGGGCTGAAAAGATAGAAACTGAACCAGTTTTGCTCAGTCCTGGTGGTGGCTTAAGCAAGCAGAGGAGCTCCTCAGGATCAAAAAAAGGGCTGTCACATAAATATCAACTGCAAGAGAAGGCAGTTCACTTTGACGGGGATAATTCTGCTTCTTTTGGAGACTGGAAATACCACAGAAATACAAGAGATGTTAAAAAGGACGAGATTCCCCAGAAAGACGTCAGTGGAAATTTAAAAAGCAGAGTTGGTGATATTACACGTAAAAATACCTTTGATGATCCAATTTACACAAGCCGTGACACACCTCTGACACCTTTCAAAATAAAGGTAGACTCTGGAGAAATATGCGCAAAGAAAGATCTATCTCTGCTACCACAGAAATCAAGTGTTTCAGAAGATGAGGATCCCAGCACTGGGCAAGAACCTTGTAGAGAAAACACTTCAGTGCAATATTTTTCAGAAACCCAGAAGTCATTACACTCACCGCCTGCCTGTAGTGTTATTATAAGGGGTGATGCAGTTGATAAAGATACCAACAGAAAAAAGCACCAAACACAGGGGAAGTCAGATGAGAGACTTGTAACTGCTCTCAGTAATATCACTGTTTGTAGCACCAAGGCACCTGAGCAAAATCACAGACATGGGTCTGGTGATGAGAAAGAAAAATATGCCCAAAATGATGATGGTTTTATAATTAGCCAAACCAAAGGTACCTCAAAATGGGGAGGCAAGACTGAGAAATATCTGGCCAGAGAAGTTGGAAAATTCAGTGCAAAAATCGAGGATTCTGAATCAGCCAAAAAACTGAATATAAATGGAACAAAGACAAAGGAAACCCAAGAGGACAATAAGACAGCCAATACAGGACCAGATGTGAAGTCAGCCAGTGACAGTAAGACTAAGCAGGCATATGGCAATTCTGTCAAAGCAAAAGCCTCACTATTTGAGCAAGCATCAAAGACTGATGTTACTGATTCTGTTGTGTCCCAACTAAAGAAAAAATTGGCTAAGAAAACTCATTGGAGCCCAAACCATTCTTCTCCTTCGTCTTCACCACAAAACAAAGGTGATTTTAGTTTTAAGAAACAACCAGAAAAATTAAAACTCCATTCCCCAGTTTCAGTTGTAAATTATATCGTGACAGCCCCACCACCACCACCACCACCACCAGTGACAGAATCTGTGCCACACAACAGCATTCCCCAGGCCAGCATAAACACAGATCAGTCCGAGCAGTCAGACAGTGGGTCGTCAACAGCCACTGGTGACACTGTCATGGGGAACACCGTCAGCTCAGATGACAGCTCCATTTCGAATGGGAAACAGCACCACCAGCACCACCCTGGAGACCCAGGGGCCAGTGCAAGGAGAGATAATTTTGCCGCCATATCCAATTCATGGTCTAGTGGCTCGAGATCCCACAGGAATTTTGAGGGTTATTATAACTGCAGACAGGCCCAAGATAAGTGGCGTCAACATTCTGATGGATTTCAAGGTCCAGGTTATTCCAACTGTTTATCCAAAAATTGGCGTTTGCACTCACCTCCTTTGCATGACCGTTATGACCATTATTGGGGCAATGAAACAAAACATTTAGCATGGCAGGATCACCCTTATCAAAAATTTAAGCATTCCTCTGATTATCAGGGAAAAGAGCAGGCAATATGGAAAGATGTTGAAATGGCACGAGCAAAGAACATTCCACCAGTAGACTCTGAGGATACATGGCGATATAAACATGATGGTAAATTAACCCAGTACCCCTCGCCACCAGCTCATGTAAGGTACAGTGATAGCAAACAGAGGGCAGATGACTTCCCATACTCTGATGTCCCGTATAATCATCACGAGGGCTATGATGCACAAGTTGGCTCCAGTCAAGAAATACGTAGTCCCTGTCAGAAATGGGACAGATACCCAGAATATTTTGAATGTGATTATCCTCTAAGAGAAGATTCATTTTGGTCACAAAGAGAGAACCGGGACAGTGTTGTTAGAGATCAGAGAGTTGTCTATCCAGGCGACCAAGGTCTGAATTACACTGGGCATAAGGGGGTGAGATACCAGGATGATTATAGATATGACCACTTGGAAGAGAAGTACCTATTCCCTGGGTCAGTAAGTGCAGAATTCAACCCACCAAGAATGTCTGATGGCCATATTGATTTTCGCAGCGAGCTTAATTTGACATCAGCCTATCCTGAGACGAGGGTCATCTGGGGTGATGATGACACTGATCAGAGGCATGGAAGTTGTGGTGCTGTGTATTCCATGCAAGATGCTGACCTGCACTCTCCTGCCAGGTTTCCTGGAACGAATGATGGCAATTATGCCAGCATAGACGCTTATTCCAGGGAGGAGGAGTCCAGTTATACCAGAGTTGAAGATGGTTTATATGAAGACAAAAGAGCACACTCTGTTGATGATTGGGGTTCTGAGAACCGTTATGCTCAGAGAGATGAAGGGGCTGCCGCGATTTATGCCACTGTGAACAAATGGAAGAAACAGGACAGAGAAATTATACACGATGAAAAGGGAGACCAAATCGGGACTCAAGATCTGCCATATTTGGAAGCTCAGAGCCAAGAAGGAGAAGAAGTTGAAGATGGGACCAATTCCCCAAGAAGGTTATCATACCACAGTGATTTACATTTATCACTGTCCATATCAGACAATCAACCAACTTTGACTGGTCAAACTGACCATCAGAGTAAAAAGGGACGTCTCTTTCTTCTCACCCTATCCAACCCAACCTCGCCTACATCTGATATAGAGAAAACAGCAGGCAGGCCGGGAGATACCAATACTGGATTGACAGTTGAGGCTGTGGGTAGTGAGAAAAGGGAAATGGAGACAGGAGCCAGAGGGGAATCCCTTGACAGAGAATTGAAAAGTGCTGTGAAGGCGCAGTGTGACAACAGAAGATCAGGAATGTATGTGAAAGACACATCATTAATTCTGGTCAGTGGAAACAACCCAGAAAGTTTATCTGTAAGCAATGATACTAGGCAAAGGCAAAATGCTTATAATTACCAGCTCTCCAAAGAGACAGGTTATCCTCCAAAGGGCACTGTCGTGAATGTGACTACTGGTGACACCTATAGTTCAGATGGGAAACCACATGATGACCTTAACAGTTTAGATGAAAGAGCACAAGACAACCGTAATTGTCTGGGTGAGGAGACAGGTGGTGACCCCTACAGTAGTTCACATGATTCGTATGCCCCTCCCATTTACCACACTGAAATGAACATGCAAACTGGAGCTGCCACAGAGTGTTTTAATGGTGATTATTATGACAAATACCAGCCCATCTCTGGTGGTTCTAATGATAAAGAGGAGAACATTAATTTCAAGCCAACATCACCATCTTTGGCAGTGATGATGGAAAAGAGCACCAAGACACAAGCTGTTGCCCCACATTATGTTCCCAATAGTCATGAATACAAGGATGGATTTCATAACAAACTCACATCACCCAGTTATGGTAATGAGGATGCAGTGATCAGTGTCACACGTGTTGTCGGTGTAACAGATGGAAAACCAAATCAAAAGACATTGCCATGCTCTGCGTCCACGTCAGGAGTCATTTCACCTAACAAGGTGCTTGATGTTGGTGGGTGCTCTGGCTTAGAGGTAAATGGTAAGACATCAGAGACCTTAGAACCCTGTGAAGATAACAAGGGGAAAGGAATAACTGCAAAAGAGAAGGAAGTTGGTCAGTCTGATTCAGTGGAAGAAGACAACACTGTTGAAATTTATATTAACTTTCCACCTGCTGTACGGAACACTGCCAGGAAGGATCCAAATGAGAAAAAAAATTCTTCAAAGTTTGAGTCATTGCCAGCCTCAAAGATAAAAGATTCTTATAAAACAAAAACGGCCTTAAATGCTCAATTTCCACTTGATGTGTCAAGCATGAGTAGATGGAATGCTACATCTGGGGAAAGTGGGGAGAAACTAGGTAGGACTGTTATTTCCATTGAAGGTGACTCAGACAAGATAATGGAGTATGGGGATCCTACAAGAGACGATGGTTGTGAAGTCAAAGATGCAAATGTTGATTGTCGTTATGTTAGCTATTGTATGGTGAGAACTGAAATGGAAGGTGATGAAGCGGATGAACATTCGCCACAAATGGGTATAGATTCCCCACAGAGTGAGGACAAACAAGAAGATGGACAGTGTGAAACCACAGTGCTGCAGAAAGATGACGAAGACATTGAGGAGAATCAGATAATTTCTGGTTGGTCTGAAACGAAGTCAAAAGAAACTGAAGTATGTAGCGAACATAGGTACCATAAACGTGAAGAGTCCGTGTTCTCCCCACCGCCAAAACCACCAAGATCTAAACCACCAGATAATGTATCCAAGGATACGGAGTCAGAATTGGCACATTATAATGGTAGTAATTTGAGTGACACGTTATTATTAGAGCACAAAGAATTTGTGGAGGTTCTTTCTGGTTGTTCTAGCCCCCGTTTCAAAAACAAAAAGCAGAAACTACGCCAGGACCCAGGAGGCGAGTCTGAGACCTACCTTTCGTATTTATCCCCAATTATAGATTGGAAGAAATTGTTAAGGGTTCGACTCGAAGATGAGTTTGGTCATGGGGACGTTCGTTCTTTGGCTTCCAGTGGGCGGAGCACACCATGTGATTATGCAGATAGTGATGTGGAGTGGCAGGTAGGATTTGTATCAATTTATACATTTTTATATGTTTATGAGTAGGCTTCTAAAATGCAGCTCTACAAATAGTTACAGTAATCTTCTGAAGAGAGAAAAGCTTTTACATATCATTTCCTTTCTTTTGTGTTTTTTCATTTTGTATATAAGTAGACATCAGAATCGCAGATGTGGAAGGTGAGCTCAAAGATTGGTTTGCCTTTCAAAGGGAAAAAAGCTTTCAATTGACATTTATAAAGTGTTTTGATTGACAGGCAGTTTGAAGTGCCATCATGAAACAACTGAAATTTTTTAATGGTCAGTATATGTCCCTTCACTAGAAAAAAATAGATATGATCAGGAAAAATTGATAACTGGTAGAAATGGGAATAATCCCCCCCCCCCCCCCAGAAAAAAAAAGGATATGCTGCAAAAAAAGTTTTTTCTCTCAAAACAAAAGGAAAAAGTGAAGAATTGAAAAAATGAGGAGGGGAGGGTACACATAAGCCACCTTTTAATTAATAAAGCAATACACATAAATCATTGAAAGAAAACAAAACGGGGAGAAATTTTATGCAGTAATGTTATTGCAAATAATTTTTTTTGTTGAAGATTTGAGTTCCATACTACATAAATTGCATGTTGAGGGTGAATCATAAGGACAACATCTGGCACCAGATATGAGAGTCCTGTGTGAACAACTGGGTCAGATCTGACTAAGAAGGGTGTGTGTTAGAATCTTGTTCCTTTTTTATGAAGATTTTATGAGATCCATTTGTAGACAACTAGTTGTAATAATTTTTTTAATGGTGGTGTGATTGCAATGACATTAAACGTGAGGTTTCTGTGCCCATTTAACTTGAAGCCCTCACGTTTGTGAATGCACGTATGCATGTGAGATTTTTATGCGACTATGTTTTTAAACTGCTAAGGTTGTCAAATGGATATATAAGACTGTTCAGACAAGGTTTCTTAAGACTGTATGTTATTGTATCCTTATTTATGTAATAACTGGAATTAAGGTTTAGTTAATTTTTTTTTTTTTTTTAGGGGGGGGTCGAGAGACTTAAGCTTAAATTTAGCAGAAAGATTTAAGTAACTAATTACTCGGAGTGGTGACAGAAGATTCATGCATTTCTATTTTTTTAACTTTGAAAGTAGTGAATTCAGTATAATAATACAGTAGTGCTCTACTCTGGCACTGGGGTATCCAGTAACTTTAGCTTTTGTTTAGAAATGTAAGAACAGCTTTTGTTTAGAAATGCAAGGATAATTGGGTTCTAAAGGAAGAAGGGCAGAATTAGTGCTAAATTGGCTTTAGGTACAGCTTTGCTTTAACAAGTATTGTTTTTGTCCTAAGAATTTTTCTTTTCAAGCAGAATTGTTTATTTCAGAACAGGATTCCTTTGGTTCACTTCAGCGTTTAATTTTAAAAGGAGGAAATTAATGAAAATGTATATGTAATTTGCCTCACTTGGTATTAGCGTGTTTGTTTTCTGTTAGTATTTTTGTAATGGAAAAATTCTGTCTGACAGTGTTATGTTGCTGCCAAAGAAAATCCAGTATTTGTGATTTACCCATTGTTTGTGTTTCTTTCCAGTCTGAAGAAAAACAAGACAAACATTTTGAACTGAAAAGTCAACATACTGTGAGTATAGGTTCTTCTGTTTGAAGCCCAGTTTTGTTAGTCTTCTTCATGTTAAGTGGATTTTGTATATATTAATGTCTTATGATTGACACATACACTGACGCACACACATACACAAACACACACACACACACACAGTAACTCGAGTCTGTTTTTACTTAATAAATTGATTTTAATCACCAGCACTGTTGTTCTCATTAATGTATTTTATTTCAGTCTTAAAATTGTGACCTCTGAACTCAAATAGGGTACAGAACAATTCCAAATCCCCTCTGCAAACCAAAATAAACAGCAAATAATGGTCCATTTTTTGCCACTAGACAAAATATTATTGTATCTGTGGGCCATTCACAAGTTTATCTTGAAAGCCTGTAAATTCAGAATATTTCTACTTTACCTTTATTTGTCATAATATGCCAAGTTTACTTTGAAAGCCAGTAAATTCAGAATATTTCTACTTTTACCTTTATTTGTCATAATATGCCAATGTTATATTGAAAACGGCACCTTACACAACCCTCACAGTTTTAAACCTCATCTTCAGTTGCATAAAAGCACCAACTTGACTTTTTAGCCTCTGGTTTTTGTCCGTGTCACAAAAGGTGACATATCCATCACTTAAGCACACCATAGCCTAGGTGGCAAAAGCCTCCTTCCAGAATTTAGTGCACCGAAATCAGCATGACATATGATACACTCTCGCCCCTTTGAAATCTTAGATAATAAGTATGACGTTAACCAACTGACTTGTACACAACACTTATAAGAGTAATTCTAGGTTTATTTTCTCATCTTACAATTGTGATTCAACAGTCCCTTAAACTTTAGGGTAACCAATTTTTTAATCAGCACACCCATAAAGAAAATAGATGAACTATCTTGGTCGTCATTTCATTAGCTAACCAACCCTTTCTATTTCTCTCTGACCACCGTCCACTCCAACAGTCCACTAGTAGAATGGGGTCGTCCAGCAAGCAAGGAGCTGGTCGCAGCAGCAGTCCCGTGGAGTCTAAAGTAAGATCACGCCTGATACTTGCCTGTATCGTAGCTGGCATGAGATGTAGTGGACCAGTCTACTAACCCCAGCTACCATTAACACTGGGACCTCGCTAGTATAGAACACGCTTGCCATGGGCTAAAATTGGTTATATTGGACCCTTATGGGCTCGAAGAGGACACCCTCAATGTTTACCCAGGAATATAATTTTGACTATGCGAAATTGATATGTCTGTTGTAATTCCCATTTTGCTTCAGTTTCATGTTGTATCTTGGGAAATTAAAACTTTTTTTCATCTTTTTGAACTCTGACTTATGAAATGGAAATTGTCCTCATTTGTTGTTTTTACCAAATTATCACCCACTTGACACAAATTATAATTTGTCAGCAAGTTTTTAGCCTATTGGTCACAACCTGTTAACATGCTAGTGGGGCCCCACATATTGGTGTGGAGAAGGATGAGGAGGAGGAGGAGGAGAATGCTACACTGTCTCAGATATAATATATTTTAACAAATTTTTTTCCATTTTTTTCTCTCCACCAGACCACAAGTCGTATGATCTCTACTGGATCCAGTTACTCTGGGTCGCGCCGAGGCAGCGATGATTCTACGGAGTCCACATCCAGGGAAGATAGGAGGGATTTAAAGGTACTGTGATAACATCTAGCGATTATATACTTGCTATTTAAAAAGCATTTTAAAATGAAAGGAGATCCTGATTTGGTTGAAACTTAGTAAATTCTTTCACGTCTGAATTAATCTGTCCAAAGGGGTTTATTAAAATTTGTGGAAAAAAAAATGGAAAATTTTTTTCCCACTAACAAACAGACAAATAGATGATATGCTATCATGTAAGAAGACTCTCCTTGTAAATGTAAAAAAAAAAAAAAGAAGATAGAGAGCCATCACTGTTAATAAGCCTCCTTTTTGATGAAATTAACGAATTTTGAAATTGAAGTCAAAATTTGAGGTTTTCTGTCCCATTTCAGAACACACTAGCAGAGCTAGAAGAAAAATACAAGAAGGCAATGATGACAACTGCTCAGCTGGACAACGAGAAACAAGCCCTGGTCTACGAGGTGGACCTGCTCAAAGATAAAGTAGAGGAACTGGAGGAAACTATGTCAGAGGCACAGAGAGAGTGCAAGGATAGGACGAGAGTGAGTAAGGGAATTGAGGCAGGGTTGGGGGGGGGGGGGGGTCTGGCTTTAGCTTGGTAGAAATAGGGGAAATAGATTATTAGGTTTGGATGAAAATGCCTTGCACTAAAGGGAATAGGGTTACTTTATGTTATTCCTTTTGCCCCTTATTTATTTATTGATATGTACTATGCATTAGCAACTACTATAGTTATGAAGTATTACATGTAATTAACAGTAAAAATAGTACTACACTTTAAGAACGGTTTCAAAAAATCTTTCAACTGTTGTTCTTGTTGAAGTCAAGTATGTCAAAAACCAATTTATATTTAATGCTGATTGCTCTTTCTTTTGCTAGGAATTAGACATGCAAAAAAGGGATTTTAAAGAAGTACAGAGGGAATTTGCTGTTCTAAAAGTACAGTTAGAGCAAAGAGATAAACTTATAGAGGTAAGTCTGAAGTATTGGAAATGCTTTGCATTATCATAAGAGGCTTGCCAAGATGTCATAGTTTACTGTCTCTTTGGGATACAAGGATATAAGAATCTTTTGGCTCAAAGCAGACATAGAGTAACTGTCATAAAAACTTCATTAGAAATTATTATGAGATTTCTAAGACATCTTTCTTCATTCAGCAGAATTAATTATGAAATTTTTATGAATTTTTTACCTACTTACAAACAGAAAAACCTATTCCTGGGCCAATTAATCACACCCATCATCATTCCCTGTGATAATTATATGAATTTCTGAATGTATTCACCAATATATTTATGTTTTCCCCCCTATCAGGAGCATGGTTTAGTGCTGGTCGCCCCAGAGGCAGGAGAACCTGAGCTAAGTGCGGCAGATCTCGACAGTAAAAAAGGGTTCTCAGCGCTGCTGGTCAGCCCTGCCACGGCACAGATCCTGGAGAAACTGGGGGAAGGCTCAATAGACGACAAAATTAGGAGGTTAGCCTCAGAAAAAGAAGAGTTATTAGACCAAGTAAGTTTTAATCTTTTTTTTTTCTGTGTTTACTGTGTCTACTCACTGGCCATTTTAGTAGGGTTACAGAAATACAGCACATTCCATTTTTTTTTGAAAGTCGTATTGGAGTTTAGATAATTAAGCTGAGTTTGTTTTTTTTTTAATTATTATAAAAGAAACATACCTAATATGAAATATATGTTTTGAAAATTATTTAAAAGCATGAATGTAATATCAACAAATAGCTTGAGTATAGTAACATAGAAGCTTTACTAATTCAGTACATTTAGGACTAATCAAATATAGCCTTATTGATTGTTGTTTTAAGTGTGCTGCAGTGGCGCCCCATACTCATTAACTTTAACAAATAGCAGAAAGAAATGGACAGATAATGCTTGTAATAGGAATGCTATTAATACATTTAATCTTTGGAAGTGGGGAGAAGTTGCCTGTAGCCTGGTAGATTAAATAACATTAGGCAGACTTACTTCAAATTAGACTGCAACAAAATGACTAATGTTAGATATACTTTTTGATAACATGGCACATTAATTATTTGATCGATTAACGTGTACAGTCATTTATTTATTTATTTATATTTTTATTTGGGAATGGTTGGGTAGATTTCCTGCATAGAACCTCTGCCTGTCTACTCAGTGTATTACAAGCTTGAAAAAGTCCTCCATTGTTAAAACTGAATGAACTTCAGAGAAAAAAAAATACTCACTAGGTTTTCTAAACAGTAATAAAAGGTTGCAGATTTTCATGTGTAACACAATTACTGATATAATTATGATGATATTACCATTTGAGCTCCATCTCATGATTTCTTAAAATTTGTATTTACATTTTCTGTAAGAGCTTTGAAGTGTATTCTCCATGTAGAGTACTAGTAGTACGAGTTCCAAGTCAGGCATGAATAGCGAGCATGAAGTTCATTGTAATTGTTATTCTTTATTCATTAATTTACTTTTCCCTGCAAATTAGGTTAAAAGGCTACGCCAAGAACTTGAAGAGGAGAGAGACAGGAATTCTCTATCTGCTAAGTACAGTCCAAATAAAGCCCAGATGAATGGGCCCAGTGACGAACATTTGGAGCAGTACCAGCGTGAGTGGGCCCGGGCCACTTAGAGCACCATCAGAACAGCAGACTAACAGAGCCGCGGATCAAATATGGTGACCCACTGAAAAGCTTGCTGCTTAAATCCAGATTAGACACTGAATAGATTCCCCCCGGGAATTACGCAACAAGCGTTCAAGTGGGTCAGCCATATTTGAGCCGTGGATCTCTTAGACCTCTGCTCTGAATGTGCTGTTAGATAAAGTCCCTTTTCTGAGCTTCATAACAGTGTTAGTTTTTTTGGATAAATTCCTCCCCAAAGAGGTCATGTTTTAATTCACCTCTATTTGCTCACCACCAGCAATTTTGAATAATGATTTTTTACGGATTCTTCACCATTGCGAGATAGAGTAAATAACCTTGATCCTCTGTGCAATGAATGTGATCTCATCCACCACAATTTATCAAATTGTAAATTTAAATTCCTTGGTGGAGGTCTGCACTGTCTGAGTGCTCTTCTAGTTTTAAACTAAGTCAAGAACATAAGGGCTGAGTATGATATATCTCAAATACGAGCAGGCCATGCTTGAATCTGAGATTCATTTTGTCTTGGTGAGTGGTTTTTTGACATCTGGGGTTTTTAAGTGAGTGAACTTTTAATTCATGTTAAAAAGTTTTGAGTAATTTCCGTATAGTGATATTTTCGGCTCTTCACTTCAGGAGAGGCCAGTAAACAGGTACAGGAACACAAAGCTAAATTACAAAAAGCAGAAGCAGATATTACAGCTTTAGAAGGAAACGTAAGTAGATAGCTTTACCTCATGCAGTGCCCATAGCTAGAAGATTACATTGTCTTATATTGATTTTTTCGTCTTGCATGGTGGCCAAACTCATTTCTTGTAGAAAAACCCCCATGCTGTTCTTTAATACAAAATATTATTGTATAATGTCTCTAATTTTATTTTTTAAAAGTCACATAATTTAAGTAACAGGGTAGAAATTATATCTAGAAAACTTTCAATTTAAACTGGGAATTTAAACATAAATCCATTTTAAGTATTATTATTATTATTGCTATTAGGTTATCAGGTTAGAAAGTCAAGTTAAAAGGTACAAAGCTGCAGCAGACAATGCAGAGAAGGCAGAAGAGGAACTGAAAACTGAGAAAAGGAAATTGCAAAGAGAGGTGAGAAAAACTGCCATGTTTCCTTGCTACGTTTTCTAAGAACTGCTCATAGCCTGTGTAGCGGACCACGAGTAATTGAAGCAACACCATTGGATAATACTGCCGTTTATTCACGCAGTGAACAGAACTGAACAGAATCTGAACAGAAACTGAACAAAAACTGAACAGAAACTGGACAAAACTGAACAGAAACTGGACAAAACTGATGAAAACTATAAAAAGAAAAGAAAAAGAAAAAATAATAATAACAAAACAGTGAAATAAAGATAAATAAACTAGATATACTAAAACTTAATTCATGTGATCTTAACAACAAATAATTGATCTTTGCATGTGTGTAAGTTTTTACTATTTATTATTTAATTTTAAACACTCACACTAGAACAATATCCAGACTCGCTTTCTCCGCTAGCAACTGGCTGCTCAGATACGGCCATAGAAATCTGAGCTGGTACTGTAAATTTATTTGATAACATAAATATACATGTGCGTGTTGGTCATGAAAATGCCACTCCCATACTAACATAAACTTTAATAAACACGATGCTCATAACTTATGTTACTGATTAAACTTAAGTAAACTTATGTAAACTTTTGTAAACTACACAAAATATCTCTATATAAGTGAATTACACTTTATTTAACACAAATTTTACACAATCTACACGTAATATCGTAACATACCTCCACCCTGCCAGTAAGTATATAAATGACCGCGCAGAGTACATGCAACATCGGCTTTTATACTGTTGATCACATGACTAGATGAATAGATGTTACTTAATATTGAGCAGTGTTCTAGTGTCTTCTCTAACACAATATAAATAAACATAAGAACAGCGTGGAAAATATAAAATAAAAATGATAACGTATATAATTTCTGCCGTGTCGGCAACAGCCTGCTCTCTTTGTATGGGTTTGTGTGAGATGATGTCTGAAGCGTTTTGTCCTAATATGTCAAGAAGTATTTTACAATCTTCTGCATTAGTTTGTGATTAAGGCCCTTTTGGTTCAGACAATTCTGAATCTGCTTTGATTTAGAAAGTTCAAAATTAATTTTTTTTGTTGCTAAAGGCACTGTAATATTAAAATTTATGTTGTGGAGGGGGGGGGGAGGACAGGTTATATCATGGGAAATACCCTGTGATACAATTGTCTTAAACTCTCTCTGTACTTGAAATAAAATTGTAATTCCAACTGGGGTATTTTTAACATGGAAGTTTTAGTACACAGATGTACCTTTCAAATTTTTGCTTCTTTATCACTAGACATATCATTAAAAATAGATCCAAAAAATTATACATTAGACATAACATTTTCACAATTCTTTCATTTGATTAATATAAAATTCAGATTCAGCTGTTTTCTGCTGCATTTTTTAGGAACACAGTTTTAAGCCATTCTGTACTCCTTTCTTGTTTTGCTTTTTTTCGCCGTCATGTTTTTTTCCTTGATGGGCTTCAGTTAGCATGTGACAATTTGGCTAATGGGCAACTATGAAAAATGTCCAAAATCAATGTTGAATTTATAAAGATGAAAATATTTTCAGTTTTTTAAGTTGATAAGTTAATCGAAATGTTTCAGCCATTTGACCAAAAAGAGGGATAAGAAATCCTACATTTATTTATAAATTTCCTACATTTATTTATAATTATGATTCTGTATCCTAATTGAACCAGTCCTTTACCTTGCTTTCACCTTTTGCTTTATTTCACCACGAGGGACATATTTTTCTATTTTAGCTTCGAGATGCGCAGTCAAATATGGAACACCTGCAGAAACACAATCAGTCCTTGCAGAGACGGTTGGATAAAATGCGAGAGGCCCGTTTTGTCTGAGGTGTCCTGTTTCGCGTTTTGTTTTCCATTATCTTTTATGCTTGTGCACATGCATTATTTAATTGCATCTCATGTTTTTTTCCTTCTCTTTATTACCTTACGGTAGATTGTTTTTTGTTCCATGATAGCATTATGCAGTAGGTAGATCTAGTTTGCAGGCTGGGGTTGGAAGGGAAAAGGACGGATCTCATGATTTTTTTTTTCTTCAGTGTAAATCTACTGTTCTGGTGACAGCCTTTTTCAAGCCTCAGTTTGGATCTGAGCATGTAGATTGTTGTCCGGGTTTCTCCAATCAGATCAGTGCTTACATTCCTGTGCTCTTTGTAACACTACTTTTAATGGGGCATCTTTGGATACTTAACAAATAAATGAGTTGTTAGTGAAAATGGAAATATTGGGTTTCAGGTATTTTCATTTTGTTTATGGGAAAATTGTAATTGTCAAAAACATTTTTAATGTCTTTTAAACAGTGTATGTATTTTACATTTTATGTCGATTTGTTTTTAAGATACAGTTGGGGTTGAATTATGGGGTTGGGGTTAAGTTTGGAGTAATTGGGGAACGTTCTTCCTACTTCCTGGCCCAGCTTGCCTGATCTGCCATATTAACAGAGCATGTTGCTACTGTTGCTGACAAACTGATCCGCATCATCATTGACAGCAGCAGTAAAGATGAAACATTGTATATCATTGATTGCATTATTTAATTCTTTAAGTTAATAATATTTTTTGTTTGTTACCTTCACCCCAACCCCCTTCCTTTTTTTTTTTTTTTTGTATTGAGTGGTTTGTGCATCAGTTTTCAGTTACTTGAACCAGAAGTCAAAATGGTGGCACCACCATTGTGCCACAGCAGGTAGCACAGTAGTTTTAACTTGCATGGACTTGGTTTCCTTGGTTGCCTCGCAGTGAATAAATACTGATTGTTATGACAGTACTAAACTAGATTATAACCAAGGTCTTTGTATTATTATTATTTTTTAATAGGAGTGTTATCAGTAAATAAATTTTAAAAGATTGGTGGCAAAGGTTGCATTTGAAAAAAAATTCATTATAGTTACTTACAAAATTTTGGTTCTTTTTCATATTAAGGTTAACTGAAAAATATGTTGTAATATCCATTCACCATACTAAACATGGGTTATCATTCTTCAAACAAATTTAAATTTAGCCCGCTGATGTTGTGTGATCAATTCACATTGTCTTGGTGTTGTTTTCAGTTAAAATTAATCTCTGTGAAGCACCGTATAAAAGTTTGGTAACTGTTGCACCACTAACCGTTGGCTCTTATGTTTGAGGAAGGCTGTGTGTGTATGAAGTCTTCAAAGGATCCAGTACCCCAGATATTGTGGGTGGGAAATTATTTTATAGTGTGTCAGCATGTGTGCACACAACTGATAGAGACTAATGGTATAGTTTATCTTCACTTGAATAGGGTTAATGTTGAAAGATTGAATGATGCACACTGTAAGACTTTAATGTGAAAAATTCATATGGAACAAGTTTTCCTGAGGTAAACAGTTTTTTTTTCTCGGACTTGCCAGTCAGCTTTCCAGACACTCACTGTTACTCTGTAAAAATTAAAAAACCCTTGGTTTACACCTAAGCAATAGTTTTTCTAATGCTGCCATTCCTCAGAGCTCAACTCTCACACTGACTCCAGTGTAAAATTGTGTCAAGATTGTTGATGGGGTGGCAAGGTTCACCAGGAGGTGGTGAATTTGTTTCTTTTTATGCCCCATAAATCAGTGGCATTTATCTATTAAAATGTGATACAGAAGTTTACCATGCCCTCTGATAACTTCACAAGAAGTGGTTTATGTACATAAAGTGTGTTTAAAATCCTGCACTTAATCAATTTAAATCCTAACTAGGCTGAGGTGCATCACAGATAATCTGGTTAAACAACTATTTGCTTGCCCAAAGAATTTGAAGTGCTACTGAATAATGAAGAGGTCCAAAATGTTTAGATTTTTGTATACTATGGGTGCATTCCCATAGATTTTAGATCAATCTATCCTCGTGGGGAGTCTCACTAGATTACTGTCAGATAATCTGTCTTAAATGGCCGTCCCGCCTACTACAAGCTGTAAGGGGGTAATTAACTTTCGTGCCCGCTCAGCTGACAGCTATTTAGCGTGAACCCCCCAGGGAGTTAGGTCGATCTAGTTGGATCGATCTAATCTCTGGGAATGGGGTTTATGTTAACACTTACTAAGATAGCTTGTCTAACAGTTCAGACTTGAGTAATGTAGAGGCTTGCTTGGTTCAATAGAAAACTGATGCATGTTTCAACCACATCACAGATGCCCTCCTTTGCAATGGATGATCTCCTAGAACTAAATTTATGTGGTTCATTTAAATTCAAAGTTATTAAAAGTATTTTCTTTATATATATATACTTCATGTATATTTACAGAAATTGAGATTATGTTAATGTAAACTTTTTGTTGTAAAGAAAATAAGTTTTCCCTTTTTTATCACTCCCTAAGTGTGTGAAAAAATTATTTTCTTTTTGTTCTTAACAGTTCTTTCATATGTACTTGATATTTTCTTTGTTTTAAGGCTGGAAATTGCTGGTTATTCATTACATGCAGACTGGGAAAATCATGGGGTGATGGCCACTGATAAGAAAATTTATGGCTTCTCCATCAGCCTTCTCTTTTTATGATTGCAGCTCGGGGAAACACATTCAAGCCACAGAAGACTAATGCTTTTATTTTATTGTTAAATCCAACTTTCTTAGAAACTCAAAATGTTATGTTCATATTTTCTTAATTTAGTTTTTCTGTTTCATTGCAGCTTCGAGAAACGCAAAATGTTGTGGAAGAACTTCAGAACCAGAACAGTCATCTCAGCAAGAGACTAGAAAAAATAAAAACTGCAAGAAATGCATTAGTAAAGCCATGAGGAAACTAAGGAAGGAAGAAAATGTATGACGAGAGTGTTTTTCTTTTTATATCTAAATGTGATCTAATTCCATGAGGAGGCAGACATTCTAATGTGGTCTTTATCATCAGATCTTCCAACAGCCTAGTGCAGCTGACCAGAAGACACTACCATTTAAGGCTTTGCCAAAAGCATTTGACAGAGTTGTGCTCTTCACATTGCCCTATTACAGAGGTTTCAGGATGTACGTGACCTAATTTCCCTCCCAGTTCTAGAGCGTAAGGAATTGTATGACACCCTTGTGACCCTTTTCCCCTCCCAGTTCTAGAGCCAAAGGAATTAAACAATATACGCTTCCTATTTCCTCTCCTAGCTCCAGAGTGATAATAATTTTCCCATTTTTTTCTGGGTCTACTTTTGCTGGATGTTCTTTTCTACTGCAATATAAGTTCCTAGAGTAACAAGAATAAATTTTGTAGACTTAACAGAAGTTAATCACACTGTTGGACTTGGATTTTCCAAATAAACAATAATTTGACAGCAGTTGCTAAATGAAGTCCTGTTCTTCAAGGAGGACTTAGAAATTCTACGCACTTTTCAAAAAGGCTGGTTACCACGGTAACTGTGCCCCCTGTTCTGGAGGAACTACAAGCTGGACAGGCAGCAAATGTGTCACACTTGAAGAGAAAAGGATACTCTACAGACCTTGCCGGAAAAATAATTTATTGTTCCAAATAATGCAATCAGCAGATAAATGCCAGTGATATCCTAATGAAGCATCAGTAGAGACAACAGCTTCTAGTTTGTTTCATTGCCCTAACGGGCTCATATCTGCTAGATAATGTTATTGCTGGGGTAATTCCAGCAGCTTTAATTGGTCAACAGATCAGGATGTTACTTAATTCAGGGGCAACTAGAAGGATGGGGGAGACATGTGTTGTAGGATTCCTGTTAATTCCCATCAGTTCAACAGCCCCTGTGGAAAACTGTTAAAATCCTGGTTGTGCACTGAGATTTGAAATCATGCTACAATGCAATTTAATTGTATTTGGATAAAACCATTCGGACGATGTTGTATCATACCAGTTTCACAATTTCGATCAGGACATTATTTTACCATTTACTGCATAATGATTTGCTATTTCTTTGGAGAACATGTAAGCAGTCACAACTTGCTAGCTGACAAAGTATAGTTAAGTGGTTAGGTGATAGTCTTCTGATGCTCAGTAATCTTTTGGTATGAGCAGTTTCATCATCAATGTGTCTACTATAACTAATTGCTGGGTCACACATTGATGCTAGCCTTATCATGTTTCGCAGCCTGGCTATGTAAAATTTCAGTTTGGCCACCCTTTTTGATGTATCTCATTTTACAGGCCCTCCGTTTTATTTATTTATCTATATATTTATTTATTTTAATTTTGTTCGGAAAAGCTAATGTTATGTCCTATGTTATTATAATTGGAGGTTTTTCCACATTTGGTGGACATTTTTTAATGCCAAAAAATATGAACAACAGAAAATGCTGATACCAAATATCTGTTTTTCTTCAAAAACTAACTAAGGCAATTTTATATCAAGGAATCTTTGTTTGGTGGGCACTGTACTACTCAGATATTGCATCCAGAAAATGAAAATTCACATAAAACACCCATGCAAAAGGGTGGCCTGCAGGCTGAGGCTATAAACCATATTAACACGACTGGGAATTTTAGTTAATTGGCCAATTTCAGCTCATCTGCCTTTGGTCTCTACTCATGCCTAAAGAAAAAAAAATGGGTGTAAAAACTTGGGACTCCCTCTCCTGCTGGTAGCACACGTTATGTATCTGCCTGAGCTCTTCGTTGCTTCACATGGTAACTCTGGGATGACCTCCTTAATGTTATCGTGACTTAAGAAAATATACACCAAAATCAAGGGGCATTTGGGTCAACAAATATATGGACTAAGAAAAAAGCTTTTTGATATAGAACGGCTTTCAAGTGTCACATAAAAATATATGAATAAATTTTTTCTCTATAGTTGGTTTTTTTGTAATTATTAATCCCACAGGTTAATCTCAGGTCTTTTTTTTTATTGAGGTGTTGCAAAAGGTGTTATTGATACTTGTTTGTTTCTGTATAACAAGTAAATATTTTTCTTTGTAATTGTTGTTATCATCGATAAATTACCCAAACGCGGGTCATAACCCCTATTCATTTGAATACCACAAGGTGGAAATTTCTGTATTTTCAAATACAAACTTTCTTTCAACTGATTTTCTTTACTGCAAATCTGAACTGAAAGTCTCTGCATTTGAATATTGTAAAATGAACATAATTTTTTTAAAGAAAAAGAAACTTATTAATTGACTTTTAAGAACTGCATTTAATTGGAATTATCGACCATCATCCTTTACATACCAGCGTAGCGCAGAACGTGCAGTTCCTACAAGGGGGTTGCTCCTCTCCCCCCCCCCCTTTCCCCCCTCGCTGTGATTTGCCCAATACTTCCTTCCCAGTAGACGGTCCTTTCACGACCGATATAACTGCTAAGTAAAAATTCTTTAATCATTTGTATGTTTTTATCAGGTATTCAGCTGTTTCTCTCCGTATTAAACCCGGTAATTCTTACCTATCTACTTAATATATTAAATAAGAAAAGCTTATTATAAGCTGTTTTTTGGAGAAATGTCGTTTAGTCCCATGAAGAGAGGCCTTTTTTGATTAAAAAAAATATCCAATTTCAATGATTTATTAAATGTTAGCTGCAATACATGAATGCCATAACACGGACAATAGCTGTATCATATCAAATCATATCAAAAAAGTTATCAAACACCGTAATCATTCGGCCTTTTCCGTATATATACGTCAGTCAACGGGGAATCCCCTTTTAAAAATAGTTGCTGTAATTTTCCTTTATTATCGGTACTTTGGATTAACAGAATTCCTACTCGGAGGTCAAGATGTTGACTTTTTGCTACATTATTATCTTGCTGTTGACACATCTTTCACAGGTAGGTCTGCAATCTGAAGGCAGTAGGCCTAGTGTTATGTGCCACTGAGAGGATGTCGCTACTGTAGGCCTGTGTGTAGTAGGCCGGGTGCGTGACAACAGTCCGAAAGTTCAATAGTCCAAAGGTTCACTATTTGTTATTGGCTTAGAGTCCTGGTCCCTCTCGTTCGCCGCCACTACACCGTTACCACTCCTCTCCCTAAGCTATAGGGGCCTGTGTCTTGAATTTTGGTCACTTATCATTCATTTGTTCAACGTTTGCTAAATATCTCCCAAACCGAAGGAATTATTAAATTACTTCAGAGGGCTGCCCGAAACTCATATGTGGAGATTCCAAATATGCCCTAAATTGGTTTTTACTTTGGGCCAAAGTTTTGTAAAAACGGCTGGGAATATTCTGTGAAAAAAAAAAAATGTTTGCGCCAGTTTTCAGAAACTACATGTACCTAAGCTTTCATATTATAGTGTGGAGATACTATTAGGGATTTTTTTCATCTTCGTGGATTTTTTTCTTACACGGTTTTGGGGTTGCACTACATCAGTATGTAGTGGTGAAAATGTTCAGTGGTGAAAATAAACTGTGAAATACACCAAAACTGGCAAAGATACCAGTATGCCCAAAGTTACTATTGGCATCTTTCTGTGGCCTTGAATCTGACCTTTGGCCTACATTTAACCATGAACTAATAATTTTCAACCCTCATATCTACAAAACTGGCAGAGATACGCTCATGAATAGTTACTATCGAACTTGATTAGGAAGTCATATATGGGCAAACATGATATGACCTTAAATTAGACCTTTGGCCTAGTTTTTGCCTGGAACTGAATATCGCTAATTTCTCAACCCTTAATTATATCTCAAAAGCTGGCAGAGATGCACCAATAGTTTCTAATGGATGTTATAGGGGCCTATATTGACATTCATAATGTGACCTTTAGTTTGACCTTTGACCTTCTTTTCCCCACGATTTTTGTAATAAATTGTAATTTTCTACAAAAATATTGTATATAATGATCTTTAGAAAACTACACAGTCCCAAGCTTTCAGATTATGGTGATGAGTTAAAGAACCCTTCTTCCCCATAACTGACGCACATATCCCCACAACTTCCTTCGAACTTAAATGCGCTTCTTTTGCGGTATCGTATTTCAGAACCTCTAGTTTTGCAGTGGGTTTTCATTGTTTTCCTAGCGTTCTGTATTCATGTATATTAATTATCGGCTGCCAACATTTGAAAATCTCTCTCTCTCCCTCGGTGGGTCCTCTTACTTTTACACACACACACTCTTTCTCTCTCTCTCTCTCTCTCTCTCTCACACACACACACACACACACACGACTGTGTGCTAAGAAAAATACTTGGGCAAGAAGGTTGATTGTACTTTTGGTCCAGTATAGCGTAAAAGTATTTCTCTTGGTGTGAAATTTCAGGCTGAACGAGGTCATGCCCAAAGTCATCATGAGAAAAAACCTGAAGGTAGGCTTTTTAAAAATAATTTTATTTTATGTACTGATAATTACCCTTATTAATTAATTTAGGTGGAGCTCTTGAAAAAGTCCACCTATGCTGAACAAAGTCAACAAAGGGTTCAATTAGCTAACTAAATGGCTTTTAGCAAAAATTAAGGAAGAGTTTCCAAACAAAAGTCGTGTCTTTAGTTTACATCGTAAAAATACGTTATTTATGTTCACTGCAACTAGAAAGAAAGCTCTACTTTACGAAAAAGTAGCTAGCTTCAGCATTTTTCCAGGATTTAACTATTATGAAGAAATGATGGACATAATTACGAACAAAGGTTTCACAGAAGCAACATTTAAATGGATGCGGGACAGTATGGACCATTGGAAGAAAACGGACCTTCATGTCGCCATGATAGGTGAATCTGGAGCCGGAAAGTCGGCATTTATAAATGCGGCCCTCGATCTGGACGAAACTGATCCACGGGCGGCAAAAGTTGGTAGGTAAAAGATCTGAAATTCTCGTGGATATGGCAAACGTCGATATAAAAATTATCCCCCATTTTTTTTTATTTACTATATTCAATTAATACAAGGGGCAACCAAATATTGACGCTTCCCATGCGCTTGTATAACCCGTTTTCTTATTAGCTAAACGCAAATTTTTCATTTTTTTAGTTCATTTTAACAGTAGTTCTTTTTATTCTACAATGTATATTCTACATCATTTACAGCATATTATCATCTATGTAACAGCAGGTATTACCTTCATGAGATTAAAACGTTTACAATTATGCACTGCTAAACTGGTTAAAATCAAGGGATTTTAGTTCAGAACATCTACTTTTATTTGAGGGCATGTTATTTTTATATGCTGGTACATATAACTGTTTGATTTTATCATTCTTTTTTTTTTCTTTTGCGTAACAGGTGTTGTTGAAACGACTAGAGAACCTGCACCTTACAAACTCCCAGATAAACCCCTGACTTTGTGGGACCTTCCTGGAGTTGGCACAGCATCTTTTCCAAAGGAAACGTATCTACGACAAATCAAATTTCGTAGATATGAATTCTTTATCATCGTTTCAAGCACACGCTTTTCGGAAAACGACTTATGGCTGGCAAAGGCCATTCAACAAGAGAACAAGAAGTTTTACTTCGTCAGGTCAAAGATTGACATCGATATTTACAACAGCAGACGACAGCGTGTCCCTTCAGAGGAGGTTCTGCGCCAAGTATACGAGAACTGCCACGAGACGCTCAGCCGAGGAGGGTTTGCGAACGTTCCTGTTTTTCTTATATCAAATTACGACCCAAACGATTGGGATTTTCAGAAACTAATGCGCCAACTCATCAACGACGTTCCAGAAAAGAAACGAGAAGCTCTGGTCCTCTCTATAGCAGCTACTGGCGAAGAAGCAATCCGCGCCAAAAGAGAAGCGTTGGAGAGTCGTATCTGGGTAGCCTCAGGCTTGGCTTCTGCTGGCGTTCTTGTTCCGGTACCAGGAACAAGCATTGCTGCAAATTTTGCTGTATTGTTGTACGAAGTTAGCTTCTACGAGGAGCAATTTGGACTGAACCAACATTTAAAGTCAGATCTTTTCTTTAAAGGGGGGTGCCTAAGAGGGACCACGCTCTCGAGTTTAGCGACCAAGAAAGGAATGACAGAGTTGATCAAAAAGATTGTCATTAATAAGGGCCCTCAAACTCTCTTCGCAGAGGCTGCGCGATGGATCCCCCTCGCTGGCACAGCCGTGTCTGCAGCAATTACTTTCGCAACCACCTACCACGCCCTGCACTGTATACTGGACACATTTGAGCAAGAGGCGCTGAATAACCTGATGACGAAAACTGCCTTCCATGATGAATTATAGGAAACTTTTCAAGAGAAATTATTTTCCTGAATAGATTATCCTGAAATTTACGTTATTAAGACATTCTCTTCAGCAAACGTAAGAGGCGTGAAATACCGCACTATTTGTGCGGATTAGAATATCGTTATAATTTTCATTATCATTTAAAGCGTAAGAATTACATCAAATGACCAGGGTGTAGCTACAATAAGTATAGCTTGAGAATGTTAAAATAATATGAATAACGTTGACATATCCTATAGTAGTGATTATGAAAATATAAATAAATAAGCCCGAGACGTGTCTAAACCTTTATCAGTAGTTTTATGTCACACATTGTGGTCTCTAAATTTGAACAGTCTTAAACGAGTATCAAAATATTCAAAATAATTAAATATCCATTAATAAAAAAATAACTAATTTTATGCAGTGATTAGTGATGTGCTAGAAATATACTGTGTGGTTGTCTACTTTTTACCATGATCAATTTTTTTACTTCTACATTGCCTCGTTTTAATGCGCTTTGTGATTTAGCATTTTCATTGTAATTTTTCCAATAAATGCTCTTTGAACATTAATGGCAATTTGCGTGGGGTGTTAGATTGCACTGCCTCAGTTGGATTAAAGCCTTCTTGTAGTATAAATAAGGGATAAGTTTAGTGACTAGTAATACAATGTGAGGTGTTTTAAAAAATCAAAATCTATTTGTCCTTCTTGTCACTGAAATTGCCGAAGAAACGTGCATTTTTACACATAAGTATATCAGAGGAAAATGTCCATGCCGACAAAGTAAATTATATTTTATCCAGAAACCCACTTTCGTCATCATCTGCGACATGAAAAGATGCTACAGCAAGTATAATTTGCCTGTAAACATCAGGTTTACTTCTTTTCTGTCCTGTGAGAAAACCTTGGTACCAAACCATCTAGTACAGCTTTCTTTCTTATCAAACGTATTCATTGTCATGGTTACCATAAAACTGGATTTCTGATCAATTCTGTAGAACCCGGGAGGCTGGAAACCTTTACGCTGATGTTCCCGAAATGTGAATTCACGTATTTGTAATTGTAAGGGACGCGGCTGGTCCACTTGGTATGTCCCACGCCCGTAAGTGTAGACTAGATAATACCGTATTATATTATATTAATAGACTAGATAATATCTTTAGTTTATAGGTAATATTTAATAAGACATGTCATATACAGCTGGGTACAAAACGGACTGGGGGTAGGTAGATTAGGCTCTTAGGATTTTGTTGGTCTGGTTGACCATTTCAAAGTATGGAATGCATTGGTAATCGACACCTATAGGCTTGCAGAGGCAGTCTCACATAAAATTTTGATAGCAACTGGCGAATAAAATTGTTGTGAGGTATTTTTCACCCTCCACAATTCCACATTGTTCAATCTAACAAAGAAAGTAAGTTGGTAAATCAGCCAAATGTTTAGTCACGTGCACATAATTCCCTCGTTTACCTTTACGACGCAGTGTTCATTGTAGCTGTTGTGGAACTTAACGCCGTGCATATCGCTGAATATTAAGAAATTACCGCGAAAAGTGAAAAAATGTGTATCTTTTTGAGTCTTTTAGCTAGAAATAAATGTTAGAGTAATTCGTTGCTTTTAAAGATAAAAATAACTGAGTTCTGATAATAGCCCAAGTTTCTCAATGTGTGATATGGCAATTAAGTCATTTACCATATTGACAATATGGGAACATTAAAAAGTATCACACGCAATGCCAAGAATGTTTTATTTTCACCTCTGCTATCGACATTGATAAAGTAAATTCAAAGTTTTTCAACGCTTTTCTTAATTAATCTTTTATTCATCTCTGATTCTAAGGCATTCATTAAGCTCTCGTTTCCTCCAAGAAATATTTCTTCTTTAGCAGATTATAGTTGATATGGACGATTACGTGGTCGAAACTATGAAAAGAAAAATATGTTTATGAACAAAACCTATAGAAAAATTAAGCAGTATAACACACATGTCTGGACAAGAAGAGCACGAGTGAGTACTTATAAGAAACCAAGACAGTCCCTTCAAAAAAGTCAAATTAGCCTTATTAGCGAAATAGAGGGCTATCTATTGGTAAGAAGGTATAAATTGTTTGGTCATGAAAAAGAGTTATTTTTTAACAATGTTTATTCATAAGAAATGGAGGCAAAGCGCCAAAAGCATTACATGCTCTCCATGTAAAACAAAATAAAATAAGTAAATGAATAAAACAAATGGATATACACAAGAAACAACAGAATATACGTATATATATATATATAAATTTAAAGAGAGAGAGAGAGAGAGAGAGAGAGAGAGAGAGAGAGATAAAAGCAGGTCATAACTAGTTAACGCACACAACTAAATACAAACATAAGAGATCAGTATTGGACCACAAAAGTTACCAGAAATAATTAAATACAGAAAGAAAGAAAATAAAGGGGAGAAGAAAAGGATCGTAACTAATTTACGTATACAACACAACTATATACAATTTGGATTACATTAATAACAAAGAAAATTACATGAAATCATAAAATGAAATCAGTGAGGTCAAGTAGAGAAAAGATAGTGCTTATTAAGTGATGTCAAGGTTTTCGAGTAGAAAATTTGCAATGGTTTCGAAGATCATTTCATTTTGGGAAGTTGATAAAGATCCATGGCCATAGAGAAGGAATGACAACTTTTCTTTTTGTGTTTTAAAAGAGGTCTTACGTTCATGTAGTATTACATTTATTTTTTTGGTAAAAGGGCGGGCACCTTAAATTGAGGGAGGGGCATCTGAAAAAGAAATGCAGAGGAGTATCAAGGGCACCACAGGTACAGTGAGGTGTGTCGATAGTAGTCCAATAATGCCTAAACAATTCTGCTCTAAATAAACACCCGACCCTCGCTCTGTTAAGAATTTTTTCTTGATTTCTGTCTTAGTTTAGTGTTGTTGTTGAAAGCGATCCAGCAACGAGGTGATTTTTTATGGAGTTCTTGAAAGATGAGATTCGAGGTAAAGATTTAGTTGGGGAGGAGAGTTGATCCCATGAAGACATTAGGAAATAGTTAACTGAGGTATGGGGGTATTTTGGAGGAAGTTTAAAGTCTCTTTTGTTATTTTCTAGGGTCATGTTTGGAAAAGGGTTTCTGAATGAGTGGAATATATCAGAAACATAGGGGGGACCATATTCGCCAAAACTGAAAACATAATTTTTTGAGCATGCATTTTTCTTCTATCAAATAGATAAATCCAATTAAGTTGCTCAAATATTTTGGAGATACAAGAGTTAGGTAAGGCTCCCAGTATTATTATGCCGGTTGGTATTGAAGAGACGATAGTTTCGATAATTTCTTCTGGAGTGAGTTGTGATAGAAGATGTCACAGTAATCAAATTGTGATTGGAAAAAGAGTTATGCTTTGTACTGAAAACTTAAGAAAATTGTTAACAGAGCTGATTTTTTGAAAAAAGTATAATTCATTTAGCAAAATCTGTCAACATAATTTACACTTGCAAAGATGAAAATGGTATGAAGTGATATTGAGGGACACCTGATAGACTATAGTAGGAACATTGCTAATGAATGCTATAAAATAAAACGTACCTGGTGGGTCAAATGATTGTAGGATGATGTTTTTTTTCCAGATGAAATCTTTATTTCTATTATTTTTTGACATTACAACAAAGGTGTTATGTACATTTTTAAACCAATAGTTAGGTATCCAGTCTTTACTTAACAGGCAAAACTCACCGTCTTGGCATAGTGATCCGGCATATCCTGTTTGGCAGCGACACTTAAATTTGCTTCCAGACCCAGTTACCTCAATCCGACATTCCCCATTACTGCAAGGGTTAGGGTGGCAAGTAGCTTGACAGAAATTTTGCATAATTAATATATTACATGTTCCACAATTTTGCTATCTCAATTTGCATAGTTAACATCTATGAACCCCAGATAGAATAATTAATAACCGTAATCTTACTTTTAATATACATACTTAGTTTGAAATAGACTTAATTATTTGCCCCACACGTTGCTTTATTTTAAAGAAAACATGGAACTTGGCATCTGTACTCTCCACGCCAAAGCTCCTCACAGTAGTTTTTAATCAACTTAACCATGGTAATTACATGGCTTACATGATATCATTTAATCTATGAAATATATTACTTGTACATGCACCATCGGTATTAAAAAGAAATTTTGCTCCCGGCTTATTTTATGGTAAGTGCTTAGCTGGGTCAAATGATTTAATTGTTTTTATAAGTTGTAGTCTTTTTTCTATTTCTTTTCCCCATTGCAACCCATAAATATTTGCTTCTACCTATATTCTTAATCATCTATCAACAGAAAAGCTTACCTCTCTCGCATGTGCGTCCTGTATATCCATTTCGGCATTTACAATGAAAACTGTAACCAATTCTAATGCGCAGATATTCACATATCCCACCATTACGGCAAGGGTTAGGGGTGCAGTCATCTTAAAAAATTGTGCATAACTAACACGTTAGACAAATTTTCTCTCTCAACTTGCATATTCAATACGTAGGAAACATAACTATTTGAGTCAATTTCCCTATAATAATGTACATGCACTTCACAACTGTAATACTACTTTTCATGTACAGGCACAGTGTGAAAATCAGCTTGATCTGTCTATTTTTGCAGACGTTCTCCTGTATTCCAGTTATATTACACAAGGTGTGCTACAGATAAAGTATAGTATTGTAAATTTACCACTCTTTTGTGTACAAAATATTAAATCTTAATCTTCAAATAATTACAATCATATCTTCTCATTTCACACTCCAATAGCATGATTTATCACACACACACTGGTGTTTTAATGTAAAAGGAAAATGATTTTCCCTTTCCAGTAAAAAATTACCATTTTCCGATCAAAAGCTAAACATTGGTACTCTTCTGTTCATTTAAAAAGTATGTGAGTATTTTTCTTTTCAAGTCAAAATTTCTCAACCATAATATTGCAGTGTTTTTTATGTTTTTAAATTGATTATTTTTTCTCCTTCAGATAAAGCAGCTTTGTTTTCAATGGAAAATGGAAAAAAAATACTCTTCATTACAAAGTGGAAATTTAAAAGCTTTCTCCTATTCAATGCTACACATGGCTGTTTTTTCTGTACATCTTTGAAAACCAGTGTTTTCATTGTTGTTTGAATCATCTTTAGACATATTATATTTTAAACGTACCTGTATAATAGCCATGCTTTCGGCTAGCCTGCCTTCTTTAGGGACAGACATAACTTTTGATCCTTATACACGAGATCTACTTGATTTATGATTAGCATTGTAACAGGTTTTTTTTTTCTTTTTTTTTATTGCGTTTAAGGATTTTAACTTCTGTCTGCTCAGTCATGTTACAAGAAAGAATAGATAAGATGTTTAAAATGTACAATTTTTCATGATTTTCAATGTAAAATTCAAAAGTAATTTTCTCCTGGAATACAAGAAATCACACCTTTTTTTCTCTTTTAAGTTAAACGGTAGAGTATTCTTCTTTAAAGCTAATTAGTGCAGTATTTTTTCTCTTCATCTTTGAAAATAAGTTTTTTTATTGACACAATACATCAAGAATACATGACATACATACAATACAAATACAAACAAACAGACACTCGCTCACACACTCACACATAAGAGATGTTATACTATATAACACTTTTTAGTTAATTACATCGTAAGTGTTTTTCCTCGTTCAAAAGAAACAGCAACGTAATATGTATAAGTATTTGGGAAAAAAAGGAAAAGCAACAGTCAGAATAACTTCTTGAAAAAAAGGCCCAATCAAGCTGGTTTTCGATCTCAGCCTGTATTTCAATAATATTGATTACTCCTATAAGTTTTTAAGACAATAGGTCTATCAGTTTTCCTAAAATGTGTCACCTTTACTGCATAAAATATTATATATGCTAAAAAACAATCACGTTGGTTTTCAAAATTGAACTGTATCTTAGTTATATTCACCATTCCTGTACGTTTGAATACAGAAGGTCAAACAGTTTTCCATGAGAAATGGTATCAGCATAGTACATAATGTAATATATACAATAAAACAACATTTGAAATAAAGATGTACAAACTTGCTTAGCTTTCTTTGTAACTTTTGTTTTATCATCATTTTTGGAAATATGTCTGTATCTCAACTAAAAAAATCTAAGAGTTCTCAGAAAATACAATTCAGTATCAATCACTTCAAAGACAGCCCAATACCCTGTTGTACTAAAATTCCAAAATGCCCATGCACATTCCTGATGATTGATCTACCAATTCCCAAAGTTTCAACTGCCTAGCTCTGGTTGTCTAGGAGGGGATTATAATCTAAATTGTGAAATATACCATTAAAACTGATATTTAAATATTTTACTTAGCTTTATTACCATGCAATGAATTACCCCAGTAAGTTTGGGAATAATAAGGTGCACTGTTATTAATCTATAGCATAAATGTCGACAGTAGACCAAATAGTTTTTTTGTCAATTTATAGGCAATATTATGCAATATTAACATGATTGATTATCACCAATTCTTCATTATGTAACACTTTTCATGTGAACCTTCAGAAACTGTATCTGGCACAGGGCTAAACCTACGGGAGTTCAAAGTCACTTCCAGCGTGTGTTTTATGTAAGCTCACTTAAAGGCCACTGGAAAATTATTATTAAATATATGTAGCTCTGAAATTACCCAAGAGACAATGAAATGTACTAATCAGCCCTTGAGTCCATACAGGTATATCAAAAACTAGGGTTCTCTGCTTCATGTGTTATTTGCATGGCATATAGTCTGATTTTTAAACCTGGCCTACTTTTAGTAATTTACTTTAGTCCTGTAAGTGTGAAGACAAAAATTCAAAATGCATTGCACCCAATGCATTACCAGTGCTGCCATTAGTATAATATACGCTGAAGAAATTAAAAAAATCAACCAAGCTGTAAGTTTGAGATTCACTGGTAACATGGTTTTCCTTTAATGGTTGTTACAGCATCAGTGTCAAACTTCAACTTTGATGCAATAGGCCATAATGCTCAACAACATCATCACCATCTATTTATAATATAACATAAGTGTAATGGATATTTAGAAAATGTGACTAATAATGTATGGTGAAAAAAATACAGCATGCCTTTTTGAAAAATGGCCCTATCAAGCATTACTTATATTCACCAGTCCTGTAGATTTGATGAAAATAGGTGAAACATGTTCCACGTATCGTGTTATCTCTGAAAGTGCAGGTGACACAGCATGTCTGTACATAAAAAGAAAAAAAATGTGTTGCTAATTATTCTCATACTATAAGAATAATTCTAAGAAATAAATTACTGCTGGTATTGGAAAATAAGTCTGATTAGATTATTTTCCATGAAGATATGAAAATTATGTTCTCCTTATAACATGGCTATTCAGAAAAATGAGATGAGCAAAGGATTCCAGGTCCATGGAAAGTCAATATCACACCCTGGAAATAGTTTTTTACAAGAACATTTTGTGTATAAAATATGATAATGAAGGGTGAGTACGACTGCCGATTTACAATCCTGTAAGCCTTTGAATGACTGATTTTAAAACCGCAAGAGGGCAAAGACAAAAGAACAAGGATGATAATGGTGGAGCAAGACCCATTCTTCATCAAAAACTTTGTTCAAATAATAGTAACATTTTTCACTGAATTTCGTTTACAATTCAAAACAATGGGCATTTATTTGAGTTTTTGAGGTCAAACGAGAAGTGAGACAAGGCCATCCCTTACCATCCTATATATTTATTTTATGCATTGAGCTACTCTCAGTGGCAAATAAAATCAGACCCAAAGATAAGAGAGATGAAAGTTAATAATGTTGAACATTTATTCATGTTATACGCAGACGATACAACTTTTATTCTAACCAATGATCAAAGAAGCCTGCAAAAGGCACCCTCGGTAATAAAACTTTTCTCGGAATGTTATGGTGAAAGTCTGAACTTTTAGAAAACCGACGGGTATGGATTGGAAGTAAATGGTATGAAGAAATAAAAACTGGGAAAATATTTAATGGAATCACAAGGGAATTCAAGCGGCTCAGTATTAAATAACTGAACTAAAGAAGCAGGAATACTTTGAAATCAATTTTACGGAGAAGATTGAAAAAAAAAAAAAAAAAAAACTACTACGAGATTGGTCATTGAGCCATTTATCTATTTTGATAAAAACCTTAACCCTCCCGATTATGGTACAAGCATTAACTGTGCTACTCCAGCAAATCCCACTGAATTAGTATTTAAAACAATAGACAGAATTATATTTAATTTCATATGGCAAAAAGGTAAAATGAACAACTCTGTTATCAGGCAACGGAGGTCTGAGGGTACCCAAAATCATCATTTTAAACCGACAAGATATTTCTATAAAAAGTACCTACAAGAACTAAAAAAAATTCCAAAAAGAGCAACAGGTAAATGACACACAGACAACGAAGAAATAATGGAAGAAGAAAATTGTCACTTAAGTGTGTGTCCATGATAGGACCAGTCAGAGGGTGGCAAGGTGGGGGTCAACAGATTTCAACCAAATTCATAATATTGTTGCACATATAGGAGATATTAAGATTGAAGGCAACAATCCCAAAAGAAATCATTGGATATAATTATAATATAATATTAAATGTTTTTGGCCATTTCTGGCTTGATTTTCAGCTTCGGTCAATAAAGCCACTTCATGAGCAAATATGTCAAAACTTATGGCCTTTTAAAATAAATTGATAGTTTACCTATTTAAAGCAGCCATTTGCCTTTGAGAATATGTTACTTAATTTCAGTTTAACCCACAAACTAACGAGCCACGCCCATTTTTATGACCCCACCCCCCAAATCACTTTTCTACCAAGCAATGTTCAAGCATTCATATCTCTCTTTTTGTAGGGTTGACAGCCATAAAATTGTATAGGGATCCTGAACATATATTGGTTTCATCATACAAAACTTAAAAAGTGTGTTAAACACAACAAAAGATATTGAAAAAGTACCTCAAACTTTAGCAATTTTAGTAGAAAACCAAATGGCCGAAATCAAGATATCAGTACATTTTGAGATAATACCTTCCAATAATCAAATTTAATCAAAGACTCACAGCCAGGAATTCAAACAATGGTTTGATAAGGGCAAATCTATCCAATTTTTATAAATACAAGATGGCTGCCATCAATTCTGTCCCAAAATACAGTTACCGTAATTCCTCAAAATAAAAAAGAGGCCCATTTTTGCAAGTTTTTATTTTGAGATCTATAATACAGGATTGCTCACATAACATTCTTTTCAAACAGAGCCATACAACTTCTGAATAATTTTAAATTACTAGTGACAAGTTATTCAACCCCCCCCCCATTTAATGAGTTATTACTGTGCATATCCAATGCCATCAACATTGTGTATACACCTTATTTTCAGGGAGCAGTCAAGTTTTAAAAATTACAAAGGATTTTTCTAAAAGTAAAAGAGAAAGACTGTCTCATTTTATCAGTTTTCTCAAGTGCAATACCAATTAAATCCACTTGAAATGATTTATATTGCATTTTTCCATTCTCTTACCTTTCAAATGATTCATAGGCTTCGTAAATACGTGTTATATATTGATATCTATATTCTTTTTCTATAAAGAATTGAAACAGAGTCAGCAACATACAATGACAGGAGGAGTATTTTATTTTCATATTTTTAATTGGATAGTAAAAGAACAAAGCAGTTACTTTTCACAGGAGTGAAAGCAAGTTATGAATCTCAAGTGCTTCCAATATCAGGGTCATCTTTTCCATATACTGAACACAACAGTGATGGGAAGTGTTCAAGAGATTTTAATCTCATAACTGATTGATACCCAAGTTTCTTCTTCTGGTTGAGAGATCTAGGGTCTCCTAAGACAGTAATGATAAAACTTGAAGCAACGTGCCACTATAGTTTGGTGTAACTGAATTGTCAATACTTGTCAATCCACTGGTGCCAATCCTCCTTTCCTACAAAACTGATTGAGATTGCCAAGCCTAAGATGCACATTTGTTATGGGGGATTGTCCCAAGGTGGCTCTTAAGTCCAATAGAGGTTTGCCAGGATATCCACTACTGCATCTACCTGAAAATGGCAGGACAGGCCTTCAAAAGAAATTAAATGTGTTAAACATAAATATTTTAAACTCATGTTAATTGCTGTATAAAAACAATGACTAAATAATATTCTGATCAAACATATTGCGTAAGTATAAAAAAAGGATATCAAATATGCATGATTGTAGCTACCAGAATTTCACGAAAAGGTAAACCTTTTTTCTTCTCCGTGGAAGTGTTCCAGGCATTACAGAGTTGGTGCTCACATCTGAATCTGATGAATTTGACTGTGCAATTTCAGGTGACTCTTCTATTATTGTGTGTAAGATTGTCCGGGTCAAGGTTCACATACAGGCCTAGGATGTAAAATCTGAAAAATAAACATAATATCAATAAATGCTTTACAACAACAGAGGCTTACTGTGTTCAGAATAGAAGCTATCGTAGCAGGATCAATCTATCTCAGCGGATCATCAAACTTGGGCTCAGTCGTTGTAATCAGCTTAATTGTCTGGCATGCCCCCTTGCAAAGCAACATGAACAACATAATGGACTGCAAAGTTTTCCTGATTTTACTGAGGTACTTTTAGTTACAAGTGTCCTGTGAAATATGTAAGTCTTGAAAATTGAAACACAGTGTGTTACAAGTCACATAAAGCTAGGCGGTACTTCAACTTGATTGTAAACACACATAAATCTGCATGGTGAATATAAAACTAAAATATAAAAAAAAACTGGCACAAGTTACATTCCCTAAAATGCCAAAACTTGAAACTGAATGTGTGTTGCATACCTTTGATTCTGGGTAAGAAATTCTTATGAAGCTGTCTTCAAGCTCAGTAGTCCCTAACTGTTTGTGTTATGATAACACATGTAACAAAGCCCTAGAATTTAATGCAAAAATATACTTCATAAGTTAGATACACAGTTAATTCTTTTCAGCAAAAATGTTTACCATGAAACAGAAATCAAGTAAAACTCTGTGAATTGAAATATACCAGTACGTCTTTTAATTTTGCTTGATATTATTTATATTACTTAATAATATTCAAACTTATTATTTAAACTGGTTTGAGTTTTTAGTGTATCTGATTCTAGTATATGAATGCCACCACTGATCACTTACCTTACAACAAACATCCAGAGCTAAATCGATGAGATGGATATATTGAGGAACCCAAGCCTGACAACAGTCTGAAGTGGTTCAACAAAAAATGCACCTTCTAAGGACGACCAGCTGCTATGGTCATTTCTTGTTATATTCTGGTTCACACCAATCCTTCTGAGATGTACCTAAGCATCTCTAGTGCGTGTTCTTCATAGAATTAAGAAAACATTATGTTTTAACACTGTAAAGACGATGTGCATAGCTCCACAGTTGCTCTGGTGATAGTCCTAGTACCCGCCATGTTGAAAATAGGTCACAGAGTTAGCATTGTTATTTTACATTTAGTTTCTACAATATAAACAAATTAAAAAATGTATTTTTGCGTCATAAAATTGTCTGTAGGGCAAACGTGTTTATTTAAAGGGCTTTTCACAAACCTTTACATGATTTTGACTTATTGATTTAGTTGAAGAAATAGTTTAGCATTTAAGTAGTATAAAAATATTCGTTTTTAGGCCCTTTTAAAAATTGTTATAGTTCTAATTTTACATGGTTTAACACAGATTTTATTTCACATAATTTATTTTTCAACCCTTTTCTATCAGCACATACACAAAATTATATGGATACAACCTGCAAAAAAGAAGTTGTGTGCATTTAAAGAAGGGGAGGGGGTCAAGCATACGGAAAACATGCCTTATTAAAATCAACCTTGTGTGGTCATGACAGTGCCCTTTCGAAAAATCTGTACTGGGTATTAAAGGTCTTTCCTTAACCTATCATATGGCTTACCTAAATAATTCTTTATGATGAACATGGTTTTTTAAAAGAATATTTAAAATTATAACTTTTCATTAGCTAAAAAATGGTATATTTTGGCAAAATTGCCAATAAAAGATCATCCCCCATATCTCTAAAACTAATGACCCAAAATAAGATAGCCAGTGGCTCACAATATCTTTCATGTTGATGGTTTACCACACCAAAATTTATTAAAAACTGCTGACCCCCACCTTGCCGCCTTCTGACTGATCTCTCTGGCTTTCTCATGGACGCGCTCTTAATATATAAACCTGTCTTCAGCGAAACAGATGACAACAAATTACAAACATCACAATTTTAATCTTAAAAGAATAAATCACAGGACTTTTAGCACAAATGCATACTTTATGAAAATAAAAAGGAATCCCAAAAATGCGAGTTTCGCGGCATTGCCAAAGAAACAATAGTCCATGTATTTTGGGAATGTCCAAACGTGCAAAACATCTGGACATGCTTAGTAAAACGTGAGAGAAAATATTGATCAATATTGAGAGGGATCCAAAAGTATTTGTATTTGGCCTTGTTAAAAATTATAATGTAGAAGGACTATATCTACTTATGCTTAATATAAATAAATATATAAGCATACGTAGGTCTAGGTCCAAAATCCCTACTTGGTTTGGTTTAAAACAATACACCCAATACTACAGAAATACCTGTATATGCAAATGTTCTATCTATTTGTACTCGAAAAGGAAATAATCTTTTTTTCCGGCTTACATGGCTTAACATTGATACAGGGTCAAATATTTAATACATAAACTAGTAAACAAACGCCTTATGAATATAGGAGACTCTTATCTCTTTTATTAATTATTGCAGAAACAGTGTGAAGCCGTTGAAGTGGTGGCACAATATAACCTGTTTTTTTCGTGTCCATGCTAATTGAAGAACTATATCCATTCTATGAAAATGGTTTGAAAATGATGTAAAGTGTGTGTATACTCTTAGTCTAGTAATTAGGTATTTTTACTTTTCCGCGGGTAGTTATGTTAGTTTGAATAGCAGTGGGTACAGTTGTTGCATATATATATATATATATATATATATATATATATATATATATATATATATATATATATATAAATTTTTTTTTTTTTTTTTTGTTAAAAAAGGTTTCGATTTTCAAACTTTGTTGATCGTCTTCTCAACCATCTTACTTTCATTGTGTTATTACTATTACTATTAGTAAAGTATTATTACTGTAAAACATTTTCTGTATACTTAAATATTATTATTATTATTATTATTATTATGCAAATATTTGAGTACACTTGTGTATTGGGGAGCAAATGAGGGAATATGAATAAACATGTGTGTGCAATGTGTGTGTGTGTGTGTGTACATAAGAGGGGTTTCTTTACATTACTCTTTGTTCTATCTGTATTTTCACACTGTGCATATATCTATTTATTTAATTTATTTACTTCAATAAAATATAAAAACTGCCAAATTAGCTTTATCTTTGCATCAGTCTGTACATTTGGCACCTTTTTGGCCTTGTGTTATAATGCATTATAGATGAAATGGGTATTTGGAAAATCTAAAAAGCATATGGCTTCAGGCCTATAGCAGATCAATTCCTCAATGCCAAAATGTGAAAATGAACATATGACAAAACATTTCATCACCTTAACAATAATTTTCCAATTAGGACGGCTTAAGATCTCGGCTTGTTTTGTTCTAATATTTACTCATATTTATCAGTTCTAGTAGTTTAAAGACTATAGGCCAAAACTGGTCCCAGTTTCATAAAGGACGTTTAGCACTTACCAGTGTTTAAATCTAACACCCGTTTACTGAAAGATGGTTAAAATTGTGTTTCATAAACAGTGTTTATACAGCCGGTTGTTTAACTGGATAAAATATTTAAAGGTCAGATTATGAAACACAATTTCAACCGTTGTTTAGTTAACGGGTGTTAGCATAATTTATTCACTGGACCTAAACACTGCTTAGTGCTAAACGTCCTTTATGAAACTAGACCCTGTTTGTTCAGTAAATGTGTTATCTGTGTTGCAATATTCTAAAAACAGCATAACTTATAAAAAGTGGTGCGAACAAGTTAATTTTAACTTCACCTGTATTTTACTAATATTCACCAGTCCTGAAGGTGTGAGGACAACAGGTTATATCGTGGTATCTTTGTAAGTGTAAAGTTACAGCAGTGGTGATAGATCGCAGGTGATAACCATATGTAAAGACACCATGTCCCTTTTCATAATAATGCTTTAACAGGCATTTACAAAACATACAGCTATTTAATCAAATTGTCAGTATGAAATCACCAATCCTAATTACACGGTATTTATTTGAATTAGTTAATAAATGAATGACAAATTTGTATGAGGTTCTCTTAGTTACAATCCCAATTTCTGGCCCTATCAATCCTCTGACTAAAACTATAAGACTCACCGGTACAATGTATTCCGTCCCCACTGTAAGGATAGTTACATTCACATTGGTAGCCATAATCCCAATTGCATGCCTCATTATGCCAAGGTAGTATTTCCCCTCTGTTTGAGAAGCATGCAGCTTTTTCCCCACACCACGCTGTAAACAAGTTAATGAAAAAATAAATAAATAAATAAAATAAACAAAACATGTAACAGGGCATCTGCGCAAGCAAAAATCCACACACTAGCTTTTAATAAACTTAACCAGGTCCATCAAGCGGCTTCCTTTATTTACATGATAACAGTTATCATTTCAAATATGTACATGCAACGACGGTATTAAAGGGGAATTAAGTCTGATTCCGTTATGGTAGTAGCCATGGTTATGGATAAATGCTACTAAATGAACCATATCAGCTGGACCATATTACAGCCAAGAACTATTTGGTGTTATCTAAATTCTTGACCAATAGTCAGGTATCAAGTCTTTAACGGTCAAAGGTTAACTATCTGGCATCTGAGTCAAGTAAATCATGTAAAGTAGGAATCTCATACGACCAGTTGTTATACATTTGAAATATGCTACTTGTAAATGTATCATCGGCATTAAAGGGAAATTCTGCTTCCAGTTTCCTTTTGGAAAAAAAACATTGGTAATGGATGAATGCTACTAAATGAAGCATATCAGCTAGTTCACCTGATCGTATTGTCAATTTTGTCAGTTGTATTTTCCATCTTCCCACATTACAACCTAGAACTATTTGTTGTTATCAAAATTCTTTAACCAATAGCCAACTATTCAGTCTTTAACGGGCGATCGAAGCTTACCTATCTGGCATCTGAGTCCGGAATATCCATAGGGACAGAGACACTGAAAACTTCCCTGAGAAACAAATGTCCCATCATGAAGGCAAGGGTTGATGTAGCATATGGCTTAAAAGAAATCGTGCATAATTAACCGATGGCAGGTTAGACAATTCTGCTTTCTCAGTGTGCAAAGCTAATATGTATTAAATTTTTCATTTCACTTCCCCTAGATAATGTACTTTGCAATTGTTACCTTACAGTTTATCTACATACACACTGTAAAAATACGCTTGATCATTTGCCCCACACACCAAAACAATTTAATTAAAAAGAAAGCACGTAACTTGACATCTGCCCACGCCAAAATTCATCATACTATCTTTAAAACAATTTAACCAGGGTCATCATATTGCTTACATAATATTACTTAAAAGGATACCAACTGTTCGTTTTGGACAAAAAAAAAAAAAAAAAAAAAAAAAAAAAAAAAAAAAAAAAAAAAAAACATTTTTAGGGTGTCGACGATTTGCCCATACTTGCCAATTGTTAATCAATCCTTCCCAATATTCAAAGTTAGTGCATTTTTTAAATGAAGTTTTGTGTTTGTAATAATCTCTCAAGATGTTAACGCAGTGGTATAGCCATTTATGAAGGTACACGTGGTCTGATGACAAGCAAAGATTCCAGAATTATTGAGACAATTGTGAAATTGGAGGCAAAATGGAATTTATTATATTTCTGTCATTTGTGTCCAATATATATAATATGAAATCTCATTTTGTCTGCTCAGTTTGCTCAGTCATAAATGAAATCATTAAGTATTGTGTGTATTCAAATAAAGTGTTTGAGTTTTCTCAAATACAGCATGGAAGTAATGTGAAAGCCTTTTTTAAAAATGTAAAATTGTAAGAACATTTCTGTGCTCGATAAGTTATTATTATTATTATTATTATTATTATTATTATTATTATTATAAAGTTAAGCCACATCATTTTTAATGGCAGTGCACACAATGGGCGTATTTTCATACTGATGCAAAATCGCATACTGATTAACAGCATAATCACTACCATTTTTTATTATCTACTATACATGCAGAAAATGTAAGTACCTCATGGCATCAAGTCCATGGGATACCTAAGTCAGATTCCAATATTTGGAAATAAAAAATGCATTTCTTCAGGAACAAGAAGAAGCTGTATTATAGTTTT